TCAACAAATATACTGATTTATAGAACTTTTGACTTTAGTGTTACTTCTTTGCCAAGATATGACATATTAGATTATCATTATACTTGATGACTCTGTTAAAAACACTCACCAAAAACGACAGCTGTTAGCAAAGGACTTGTAACTTCCATTTTTTTCTGAGCAATAATGAAATCAATTGTTCTACATGTATGACTTTAATATGCATCACACCTGGTTATCCTTCTGCTACTAAACAATCATAATACACACAGATTGCAGGTTGAGTCATGATCACAAGATGATCAATCTGCTTGGAGCAAGGAGGGCATTGACACATATACTTCAACACAGAGTTAACATCTTTCTAGCGCTCAATTAGCAGACGATATGTAATGACCTTTTGTCACAGAATGATATGATTCCATACGGGAATGAGCTCATCGCTCAACAATGAGGCTGATTTCCCTCCCGTTCCATCCCTCGACGAAAAAAGTATCGAATTTGAACTTTTAAAGGTAGGAAATTTGAACCGTTTTGGTGGAATATGATTTTCAGGTGCTGAAGGGTCCTTTTGGGTATAGGAATGAGACAGATGTTAAATATAGCTGCTGAATTAGGACAGAATTCGAAAGGTTTGAACTCTGTTGGGATTTAGGGATGTTCAGGGGGCTGCATGAAGTGGATTGAAGCTGAGACGTTGGGGCGTTGAGGTAAATTAGATGAATGTGGAATAAGGAGATGATAGGTTTTTGTAAGAAAGATGACTCGTAAGTGTTGAATCATGAGACAATAACAGGTAGAATGTTTGATTAGAGAGAAAGATAGAAAGATAGTAAGATAATGAGTCTTCATTTACAGATGACTAGTTATAGAGAGAATTAACATAGATAGAATATGACAGAAATAGATTAAGGAAAGGAAAATATAGACAGAATTAATAAAGAAATAAAATAAGGTAGAAAGAGAGGATTTCTAACCAAAAGTCAATCAGAAAGTTTGGGCAAGTGTGCATGGGAGAGCTTTGTGAGTTTCAGAGGGATACAGAAGGAAAGAGAGAGAAAAAGAAATACTTAAATGGTACTTATTTGATTCCTACTTCCTTAAAGTGATTGATTATAAACAGACAACAGTGAATAAATCAAATATTTTGTAACTGTGAGAACAATGACCTACAGAATATATATAATTATGTATCCCATTTGTATAAATTGTTCTTAAAATTCACTGTGAGATATCCTTATTTTACCCTTGCCCTATATGAACTATAAACTTGATTAAACCAGCCAACATACAGGAATAAGCTTAACGTGACATCCTGCACAGGAGTTCACTATCCAGAGATCATATAAAATTCTCAGAACACCCATTAGTATTTACAAATAAGAAGTGAAATAACCCAATTAAACAGGAAAAGAACAAACATTTTACAAGAAAACACATGAATTTCCGCATTCTCCGATTGCAAGTAGCATTTCCTTTGACATCTTAAACTTACACTAGGAAAGGGTTATCTGTGGTAGTGGTTAAAAGTTCTTAAGTCTGTCAGTGACACTTGCACATATTTAAAAGAAAAAAAAACTACCAGGTAAATCAAAATGTTGAAAACCTATTGGTAAAAATTGGGGGATGCATGAAAGCACACAGAACTTGGCCACTTCTTACAATTATATCCTCCCAACTACATAATTTTTGTTTAAATTCATAATTTCCATCATGTTCATAATTTTCATTTTGTGTTTTAAACAATTTTGAACTCTACAATAAATATGTTAATCACAACCAACATTTATCTTGATTTGATGGAAGATATACAAATTTCTGGCATTATCATGAAGGCTGCAACCTTCCAATTACTGTAGTTGATTGATCAATGCAAGGGCAAGCTGTAAAGATATTGTCTGCTGAGATCCATAAGGGTATTACAGCACACATTTTAACTCATAACTAGTACCCTCCTGGCTATCAACATAATGTTGACAAGGCATTGTGAATCATTCACTGTAATGACATTCAGTTGTCATCATGCCTCATCGCACCAATGTCTTTTGGCACAGTGAAAATACAAACTCTGCAGATTCCCTGAGTATAATCCTTGCCTATCTTCCGATCATCTCTTTGATTCATGTTTTGGCCTTTTAATCACATGACTTAATTTCCCTCATCTATTAAAAGTGTTTTCCTCCTAGCACAGCTGTGATTCACAATTCTGACATTTAATCATTGATGATTAAGAACTATTACAAAGTCCTGAATAAAATATTTTATGCTTCTTTTGTTTTTGGAGTTATGCACATTTTGTCATAAAATTCTAATTTTTGTTGTTGTTGAAATGTCAACAGCCTGTTCTCAAGGGACATGTGTAAATAGCATCAAATCTCAAATTTAATTCATATTCTCTGATGTACAATTGAAATTAAATTGATAAATGTAGATTTGATTTATCTCCCCCCCCCCCCCCCTTATAAGAAGAGCAGGTATACCCAAGTAGAATTTAGATTAAGAAACCTGAGCATGAAATAAGCTAGTAAGTTAATACCAAGGCTGAAAGAAGAGACTACCTTAATGAACAAGGGGGAAGAGAATTAAGGCAGTTAAAGACAAGACCGATCATGACAATGAAAGATTACCAAGAAATGTAAAGTGCATTAGGCAGGCATAAAGACAGCAAATGTCAGGGTAAAAAGCTGATCGAGAATGGAAGAAGTCAAGGTTTAAACTCATCTCAGAAGCTTTCCTGTATCTCATCAAAATGTCCCGCTGATAAAACATGAAGATAAATCCTTGACATTATGAATTGTTAGGATGTTAATATATCCTTCAATAATGATTTGTAGAAGCAATATTGCTGTTTGATAATGCAGAGTTCCCATGATGGCACTGTTTGGATTTCTCTGAATTTTAAAGAGATATGTAAAAGGACAGTTATATACCACAGACTCTATGCTAAATATTTCTTTTGAACGATTATTAAGGCACTTTCGCAAAGTACAGCTGTAGTTCATATAAGGTTGAGTACAATTTTTGTTTATAACATAATTTTGAGGAAAAGAGCTTTGAGCAAGTGTCTGAGAAACTTTATTTTAGAGAGAGAAATAGATTTCTCCCTCAAAATAGAAGAAAGGGAAATGGACTTACATTTAAGCTATGATTCAAATGACATCTATTCAAACTACATGTATGTGTTTTGGCAAGGACTTCTGCTTAAAGATTGGGAACCCACACGACGATGTCTATATATGACTTCCTAAGAGGGAAGGTTCAAAATTAAAAATGAAGTCCAACTTCATCAAGGTTGAACTCCTTAATTAGTTCCGACTGAAATTATGCTGGGAGTCCGGTTTCTCTTTGTAAATCTCCAGGGGATGGTCCAAACTCGAGCATTGGGGAGCCATTTGACAAGAATGTTCCTGTAGAATTTCTAAATTAATCCTCCCCAATATTGGCGCTGATTGAATAAATAAATTTCCCAGGGTAATTGTCTCCCGGGTTTCAGGATTTATATTTAGCGGCCATCTCCATCATCAATTATTACAAGTCAATTACTGATCTGTTCAACAATTCATGTTAAGCACCACTGTCGGTATCAGATGCACGAAGATTGGGCTGATGAAAATATTGTCTGTTGAGGCCAGAAGGGCATGAAGTTGGTGTTAAACTATAGTAGTTAATGCCCTTCTGGCTCCAAAAGATATAAATGTAAAACTGAATATTTAAAGACTTATTGGTTATTTATTCGACTAAGACTCTGTAAATTTGTTATGCTACGACTTCAAATGGTTCAAAATAATTGCCAAGAACAAGATACATATTGAGAAGAAACATGTGCAGTAATTAACAAAAATGAATGATCTTTTGATATGTGATGCACATAAATAAGGAATAGGAGCATAAAAATGTCTCAGCTCTCAGCTGTTTTCTTTTCACATATACCGGTTATCTAAATAATCTTTTATTTCTTCTACCCATAATCTTAATAATACATGTACTTTCATATGCAGCAAATGAAAACTTGATCTAAAATAAAAGTATGAAGTGGCATCCAGAAGAAACAAAAATAAAAAGCAAATTAAATCTGGTTCTACGTGATTTTACTTTCAAATTTCAATTTCATTAGGAATTCATTTCTGCGAAACCCAAACCAGTGCGTACACAATCATTCCATCATCATCGCTATCTCTGGCATCGATTGGGGGTATTGTTGCGTTTAGCCAGAGACACACTGAATGAGATTCTTGATTACACTACATGCCAATTAACAAATACATGTTGCTAGGGGTGCCTATGGAGATGGGGGATGCTGCCCATTACGGTAAAGTGGTGGAGACTGGGAAGGGAAATTGCGGGGGAGGGGATAATTAGTTATTGATAGAATACAATAGATATTTAATGAGAGGGAGGTACAGGTCGAGTGGTAGGAAGATGGACTGGTAGAAAAGGGATGGTCCAAACATATGAGAGATACATATAAAATGGATAAATATATGCATTCAGAAAGGTATAAGAAGGGTATACAAAACGTGAGATAAAGACACAGAGATATGTTTATAATTTTATGGAACATATACTTCAAAATAGAAGTAGAAATAATTATATTTTGGGGAAAATATGAAACAAATTGTTTACTCTCTGTTAAAGTATATAAGTAATGCTCTTCTGGCTCCAAATAAACAAAATAATCATTGTAACCCCTCCCCCTCCATTTTTACATTTTTACATTGAATAATATATATATATATATATATATATATATATATATATATATATATATATATATATATATATATGTGTGTGTTTCTACTATTAATCTTAATACATTAGTATTTTTTATTAGGCATACTGTAATTGTAAAAAACAAAGATTATGTTGATCACAATGGCATACAATTGCATCCCTTAAATATATAAACAAAATCATAACATTTCGGTTCAAATATTACTTAGAAGCTTACCAGAATAGAGTGTAACATAGAATAAAACATCGCAGTGAAATAAAGTATACCTAAACGTATAAAAAAAACATACCTTGCAGTACGGCGATTTTCCAAATCGCTTGTGATTGCAGGTTGGTCCAGTCACCATGACTGGGAGTGGTTTGATGAACCTGGCCCGTCGGGTGGACGACTTGGGCATCGTGAGAATCGTTGGAACAAGGATAGGCATGATGATTCAAGAAAGCTCACAAACTCCAAAGAAAAATGAGTACTATAGTATCAATCCTCAATCAAAGACGGTGGAATAGAAATATATTCAGCTGCAGATAGTTTGGTAGTTCCCAACCAAAGAGTATGAGAAACTACTACATGTATCCAACAGGCTGATGGTTCAGTCGCTCAGAATCAGAGCTGAGGAGTTTTACGTTCCATCAGTCACAGAAACACTTAGCAGACTGATCAGTTCAGGAGCGATCTGTTGACTATATACTCCAATGAGATCAACCGCCAAAACTGGCGCACCGCTCAAACGACTTCCTCCAGGACCATCCTGCCACATGGAAGCAACGGGTTGTGACTGGTTGCTTTCAAAATCATGTTTAGTTTCAAAATTGGTTCCTGTAGTCTACACTGTCTAGGTAGCTTGTGTACCCATACTTCCTATTGTATATGATTGTGAGAAAGATAGCTCTGTATATAACACTGTGTGTTGGACACAGTACAAGACTAGCAATTCATTGTTGCATTTTAGATTTGTACACTCCCCTCTGTATAATAAGTACTCTTTAATATTGCATAATCTAAATTCTTTAAAGGCTGTCTGTACTAGTTTGGCTAGAAGGGATTGGCCACCCAGGGTGGTCACTGCCAGGTGGCTATCTCTCTCGACTCAGCTCTCAATTAACATAAGAAAAAGAGGATCATGGGGGACCAACAGGCAAGGATAGGGGAAGTTTTCTATATAGAGGGAGCAAGTAGCTACAAGTAGTACAGTGGGGCTTCAAGACTGGTAAGAGTCTGTTACCACAGACTATCTTATCTACAACAGTTCAAAGTTCAAAGTTAACAGAGCAATCCAATCACTAATATCATAATTAGAGTAGATCGACAGCCAGTAACATCGATGACCAATCAGCATCAATAATCTCCTCATACATATTCACAAGGAAATGCTCATTAAAAACCAAGAAGGCCTGTCACTGGCTGAGAAAGTTCTTTGCCACCGTACGTTCATCCAATCACATCACTACTCATGAATAATTCATGAGTTTACTCTCTTCTTGTTTCATGCACTGAGGCATGCAGTTTGTATGAATATGCAGCAGGACGTCATGAATATTGATGATCCTTTGACAGGAAACCCAGTAACAAGGGAGGAAGGAACAAGGTATTGACTTTAGCAAACGAAAGTTACACGTTGGAGTAGTCAACATTTGAACATAATCAGATATCGAACTATAAAGGGAACATACCGGTACCTACAGATCTATATAAAGCCCTTACCAAAAAAGCCAATTTTTAGCAATACAAGCAAAGTACACATCTAAATGGGTTAACAGGTGTAATAGGACCTTGATGTACTTTTTACAAACACTTTGAAGATCTTGCACAATGTGTGGTCAATTTATCATATCCATTTGCTACTGCAAAAAAAAACATTCAGGAAGAATATTGTTACTCTAACAGCCATTGCCATGGCAAAAAGTAAACCAAAACAACAATTAAAAATTGTAAAACTATTATTAAGCCCATGAGTAAACCAGAATATGAAATAAGAGTTAAGTTCAAGCAACTTTTTTCATCTATTTCAAAATGTGTTATGCAATGACCCAAAACTTCCCCTTTACAATGCAAATGTGAATACAGCTTATGGAATACGTGTATAGAATATTATTAATCTAAAGTTACATTACCGAAATAACTAATAAGTCACTTATAAGACAGACTAAGGTATATGTGTTCCTTTGGGTTTTCTTTCTTCTCTCTAGTCATGAGATGAAATCAGTCTTACCATGCAGTATATTCCCTGAGAACCTCACTATCAATATCATTATCACTTTTATAAATTATTTTGTCATTATAAAAACATGATCCAAAAAAAAAGAGGGGAAAAAAAAAGAAGAAGAATAGAAAGAATAATAATGTAAAGAAAATGGGTATGGTGTTTTTAAGTGCATATTTAGTCCCGATTCTGTCATTGTTTTGAATGTGTTGCAATCAAATTTGAAGATTGAAAATAAGTCCCTGGAATTAAAATGGCCAATGATGTAATGTTTTGGTGTTGTATATGGGCCAATCACAGATGGACTAGTAGCAGTTGGCCTAAAGCCAATAAAGTTCTTGGGCCATGTGACAGAAATAGACTAGTCTCGACCTGTTTGACCTAAATCAAAACAAGTCTAATTGCATCATAACATGAATAAAGTATAGCAAATTTGATGCGCAACTAAAATAACAGAGGAAAACAAAGACAAGAGGTATTTTATAACTCTATAATACCAGTATATTCATCGTTTTATATTACAAAGTAGTCATTGAGCATTGTAAGGTCAAAAAGTGAGTCTTAGATAACTATCCCCCTCCAACAACAACAAAAATTACAAGACAAAATCCATGAGACCAACGATATCCATATCTTGGGCTTTGTGACAACTTTTAGAATGGTCACAAGACTGATGATATATATATCAAAAGGGGAAATTTGTTTTAAATGTGTTGTGAAAGACTTTCATTGGAGGAACCTGTATGGTATCATATAAATGCTGTGAATCATCATTATCATCACCATCATCATCAAGCAGAGAATCATGAGCAAAAGTAGAGTATTCTCATAACCACAGCTTAATTGGGATTTATTCCTGAGGTTGGGTACCTCAAATAAAATTCATTGTATTTCATGGAACCTTTGCATTATTATTTCAAATTGAGAGCATTTCCAAACAATCTTACCCCAAAAATGGACCTGGCAAAAACCTTGTCCTGTGGATTAGCCCCATTGGACCGATTGCACAAGATTTGTGTAATTTTGGTAAACACACAGCAATCACGTGATGACAGGATAACCACGATTTTACTACATTGAGGTTCGAAATTGGGACTGGTGTTGCAATTAGCTCACCATATTATGTTGGGGGAATGCCCATGACGAGCTGGTAAGACATTTCCAAATTATACACGTCGTTGTTTACATGCCATGGTTGTATGATTTTTGGCTCTGTTTTGGTTCATTATACATGTTAGGTGATGTCGCATTATTGCTTATAGAAATAACATTACGATGGAGGTATTTTTAATATGTGGGCATGGGGATATGGGCAGACTGAATGGGTGATTCAAGGAGTGAAAGAAAGAACGTAGAGAGAAGACACATGAAAGAAGTTCTGAGGGAGACACCAAGACAGACAGAGAGAGAGAGAGAGAGAGAGAGAGAAAATAAGAGTCAACAAAATGGAGTTAAAGATAAAGTTGAGTTCTGGTCATGTGATTGCATTGTGAAAGAAACGGTGTGGAATCTATCAGAAAAGGTTGATCATCTAGTATATTAGTATATGTGTGTATATTGCAAGGTTCTGGAATCATCAAAATGACAAGAAATTTGGCCAAATCTTGGCAAAGTTACAAGCACTGTACACAGAATGATGTATATGGGACTACACATGGCGAAAAAATCCTGATTACATCGCATATAGTATCCCTCCCTGTCATCCTCCCCCACCTATTTCATTATTTAAGTAAATATACACACACATATATATATATATATATCATATTATATGTATCAAAAGGGGGAAATTCATTTAAAATGTGTTGTAAAAGACCTCATTGGAGGAACCTGTGCCTGTATCATATAAATGCTGTGATCTTCATTATCATCAATATCATCATCATCATCAAGCAGAGAATCATGAGCAAAAGTAGAGTAATATTCTCATAACCACAATGGGGGTATATTCCTGAGGTTGGGTACCTCAAATAAAATTCATTGTATTTCATGGAACCTTTGCAATAATTATTTCAAATTGAGAGCATTTCTCAACAATCTAGGGTAAGCCCAGACCTGGTCCTGTGGATTATTGGACCGATTGCACAAGATTTTGAAAATTTGGTAAACACACAGCAATTTCACGCGGTCACAGGATAACCACAATTTTACTACATTGAGGTTCAAAATTGGAGCCGACTGGTGTCTCAATGAGCTCACCATATGTTACGGGAATACCCATGACGAAGTGAGGTGGAAAGACATTTCCAAATTATAAACGTCGTTGTTTACATGTCATCGTATGATTTTTGGCTCTGTTTTGGTTCATTACAGGTGATGTGGCATTACTGCTTCTAGAAATACACATTACTTTTATTACAATGAAGTTTTTTTTTTTATGTGGGCACAGGATAGTGGAGTGGAAAAAAGAACATAGGGAGAAGACATTTGGAAGAAGTTCTGAGGGAGACACAAGACAGGAAGAGAGAGAGAGAGGGAGAGAGAGAGAGAGAGAGAGAGAGAGAGAGATGGAAAAGGGGGAGGGGAAAGAGGGAGAGAGATTTATAGTAAGACTGAAAAAATTGAGGCAATTTCAGAATGGGAGAAAAGAAAGTGTCATGAAAATAAAACCAGACAAAATGAAAAGAATATCATTACTCTAAAAGAGAATTATGCAGATAGAACAAAGGAGAAAAAACAGAGACTTTGATGAGGGAGAGAGAGAGGGAGAGAGCGAGAGGGGGAGAAAAGGGAAAATAGATATGAAGTAAGTAACGAAGACAGAAGTTGAGGGTATATGTTTTGGAGAAGAAGAAGAAAATCCGTCAATTAACCATCCTTTGTCATCTGTATAAAACAATGGGCTTTATATATGAGGACATTACACCATACCAAATGTATTCATTGCATACCCAATGACACATGGTGGTGAAATTGATACAAATCATGGTTTTGACCCACATACTTCATTTAAAACTTCATTTCCCTGGTAAGTGGTAATCCGTACTACATTATAAACCCAATAGAAATGTGGTTTTTCAAGAGACCCCAAAAGGTACATTAATTATATTGGTTGAAAATACCCAAAGCTATATTGAAAGCTCACATTTTGTTAAAATGTTGGTGATAGAAAACAGTAGATTACCCTTTCAATATGCAAGTAGCTGGATATAATATACCGAAAATAGTGTAAAGCGTACTCTGCATAAATTTTCAGAATTCCGATACCAATCTTATACAGTGACAGTACCAACAAATATTTTATGAACACTTTTTGGAAGTTAATGAGATTAAGTGCACTGTATCTGCTAATGATGAGCAGCACTTTAAAAAACAGCAAATAATATATGAATGCCTAAAAATAGACCCTCTTATCAAAATTGGAAGGTTCAAATCCATACAAAAGTGCATCTGACATTTGGTCTCAGCGAAAAATCCTTTTACTTGAATGAAAAAAAAACTGAAAACAGTAGAAGTTTGCAATGTAACTGTTAATACAGTAATAAT